TAAGAGAGAAGAGTGGGGGGAAGGGAGAGGGGAGAAAAACACACCCAGAAAACCTTCGAACCTAGAAAGGAAAAGCATCTCAACCACGGAGGATGCATGTCGCCAAAAAAGTTCCTTTGCTCTAAATCCTTGCAAGCCTCACGGAGTCTTCCTTTCCTCCACATTCTACAGGTTTGATAAAAAAAGAAAACGCAAGAAAGTAAAATGGAAGAGATGACTACCATTGGTCATTCGTGGTGGAGGTATTGGAAACCTGCAGCCCCATCCCTCGGGAGAAACAGCACGTGTGAACGTCCAAGAATCTTTGCGTGTGTTCTGCGCTGCCACCCTCGAAACCTCAGCGAATTCCAGGGAGGTGCTTGCTTCTCAAGGCTCACACTCCAGCCAATCGATTCTGTCTCCCGCCTGGCACCCTCGCGCAGGAAAGGGTTGCCTTCGAAAACTTGTCCCCTTGTTCTAGAAGAGGGAGCAGACTGGTTGCTCGTAAGGTGACATTTCTCTCCTATTTCATCTTCCCAGCCGCGCCGACGGAACCATACCCAGCTCCTTCAAGGATAGTTATACAGATCTCTGACGTCACTCGACCGAGAGATAAACGACCTCTGCACCAGCCATCTCCAGGATGAAGAAAACCAGAGCCCCTGTGTGAGGAGGCAGACCTTCCCAGCAGCACCCGCCCTGGGTGATGAAGTCACCTCACATCCTTTCAGGGGGTTTTGAACAGCTGGGAGCCATCATTACGCAGGTGCAAGCCTCCAAACCAGTGGTTCTCAACCTGTGGGTCGAGACCCCTTTGGGGGAGGTAGAACAACCCTTTCACAGGGGTCGCCCGATTCATAACAGTAGCAAAATTAAAGTTATGAAGTAGCAACAAAAATAATTTTATGGTTGGGGGGGTGTCACCACAACATGAGGTGCTGTATTAAAGGGTGGTGGCATTAGGAAGGTTGAAAACCACTGCTCTAAAGAGTCCCCTTTCTCTGAGGGAAACCAGTTTGAGTAGTATTCACGATTGTATAGAGACTGAATCATTGATTTAGGTCCTTAGTCTAGGAAACTCCAAGAAGCCTGGTAGTAATGGGGTAACCATGTGGGGTTGCTAACCACATGGTTGATGGTTCAAACCTACCATCTGCTTTGGGGGTCAAAGATGAGGTGGTCTACTCCTTTTTTTATTAAAAGATCATTTATTAGGGGCTCTTACAGTTCTTATAACAGTCCATACATCAATTGTATCAAGCATATTTGTGCATATGTTGTACACATATTTTCTAAACATTTATTTTCTATCAGTTCCTTAGTATCAGCTCGTCTTGGTATCAGCTCTTCTTTTTCCCTCCCCTCCACCCTTATGACCCCTGGAAAAATTATAAATTATTATTCATATCTTACACCGACCACTGTCTCCCTTCCCCCATGGTTTCTGTTGTTTGTCTCCCTGGGGGTGGTGGTGGTGGTGGTGGCACTGGTGGTGATGTGTCCATCGGTTCCCTCTTTCTTCCCTCCTCTCCCCACCTCCCCCCTGCCCTCCTGGTAATGCTACTCCTATTCCTGTTCCTGGATTCAGTGTATCGTGAGCTCTTATCTCTTATCTGTGCCTGTGCACATGCTCCGGTCTAGCCCAATGTGAAAGGGAGGACTGGCGTCATGGATTGTGGTGGGTGAGGAAGCCTCAAGGAAGAGGCTGTCTATTCTTGTAAAGATTTCCAGCCTCAGAAAACTAACAAAACAGGTGTCTTCTGGCCTACACGGTGGCAGTTAGTTGGAATTTGCTCTGTGACAGTGAGTGAGAGCTAGGACACTCAGATACTCTTTGAATTGATGGGTTTTACAAGTCACCTGGCTTAATGAAACCAACACCTGGTGGCACATCACACTCAGGATCCCTGGAGAAAGAGAAAGAGAGCAATCCATTGAGCACCCTCGTGGTGTAGTGGGTTACACATCGGTCTGCTAACCACAAGGTCAGCAGTTGAAAACAATAGCTGCTCGTGGGAGGAAGATGAGGCTGTTGGCTTCTGTAAAGATTTTCAGCTGTGGAAATCCACAAGAGCACTTCTAACCTGCCCTATAGCATCATTATGAGTTAGAATTGACTCCGTGGTACACACACACACACACACACACACACACACGATTCCTGGACCTCCACCCAGACCCACTTACTTGGATTCTCTCATGGTGACTCTTGGTAGACACCATTTTAATATACTTTTAACTGAGGACCATCTTTTAGGAAACAAAGCTAGAACTCCTTGGCAGAGTAGAGGGTCCACAGACAACGAGGGACTGCTCCACGCGGTGAGATGGATTTACTCGGTCATAGCCACAACGGTGTTCTTCTACATACCCAATGGACAAGAAAATGCTGGGAGTCCTGGCACGGTTTTGTTCTGTAATGTGTGAGGTTTCCATACGCCAGAGTTGACCAATGGCACTTTACAGCAACAGTTTTGGAGCATATTAGATGCATGGTCAGTGCAAGAGCATCAACCAAACTTTCACAGCATGACTAGGCTGAGACAGAACAAGGAGTATTTGACAATGTTGAAGTTAGGCTAACTTTTCATGGCAAAGAGGAAGATTGAGAGGGGTTTTGTAGCTTCAAAGCAAGGACTAAATATCAAGAAGTCACTGCTAAGCATCCTTGATTGCAAGTGACAGAAACGGAAATTACTAGCTTTGCCAAAGAGGATGTTATTGGAAGCAGATTACAGTATTTCACCCAGCAGCAGAACAGAATGATGCAGTTAGACCTCCGAGGCAAGTGGGATGAGGGCCTTCATGGCACTGGACTTTGTCTGCCCTGCCATCATCATTCCTCTCTGTGTGACAGCCTGCGTCTCTCCCACCATGGGCCAGCTTCTGCCACACAAGGGAGAGCATCATCTTTCAATGAATCGAACCCTCTTACATTAGGCCACCATCACAGGAGCAATGTTTCTCTCCCTTAGACCCAATTTGGAATGCTCTAGAAAAGAAGTTGGGTGGGTGTGTTAGACAGGGTTCTCTAGAGAGATAAAACCAAATTCTTGATAATATAATATATTTATTTATAAAGGTAATTAATATATAACAAGAAATGAAATGTTAAATCATAAAGATAATTAGATATATAACGAGAAATGAAATGTTAAATCAAATACAGATAAATATACAATCTTAAATCATATACAGATAAATATACAATCATATACAGACAAATACACAAGAAATAAACAGTTAAATTAGAAGCACTATAAACGGCTTAGTGCAACTCACGTCCTCCGTGAGAGAAAGTTGAGAGAATAGCAGTCCTTCCAGTCTCTATCTGATGCCAGATCTTCCTCTTATTTGTAGAGAGAGCTAGGTTATGTCAGCACAGCAGCCAATCACAAGGCAGGTCACCAATTGCCAGTTCCCAGCTCCAGAGAAGTCTTAAAGGGACCTCAACTTACAGCAACACAGTCCACAGGCTAGGCGTCCCACAGGCTCTGTAGCCTTTAAATTAAAGCACAGAACAAGCAAGGCAGTCACACACTGGTCCGATGATCACAGAGTGAGAGACAAGAAAGGCAAGGCTCACCAAGCCATCCATCTCTCCGCCCCTCAGTCAATCCCACCTGCGTTTATCAGCCAGGCTGGCACAATAAACTGTCTCAGTGGGCTAGATGGATCAATGCCTTAAGTACACTGGAGTGTGGAGGAAGAGGTGTTCCTTAGAAAAGCAGGGATGATTCAAGAAAGCAAGGTTGTCCGGCATACTAGTACTATCTTAATCCATTCATATCATCTGCTATCAATGGCCCTGGATAATCTCCACATTAAATCAACTGGAGATAGAAAGCGAAGCCACTTTATAATAACCATGATATCAGAGTTGCCTTCCTCTAGGACGCCCCCACCTCCACTCCCACCAAATCCTCCACGTTGGGATAGATTTTCATCCTCGATAGATAGATTTTCATGTTGGTGTAGGCCTGGTGACCCTTGCTTCTCACTGTTCTATCGAACTTATCGGAAAATAAGGAGGTCTCTGTTTATGTCAACCTCCTTCTCTTGAAGGAGAGGAGCTGGTCACGGTCATCCCAGCATCCCCAACATCTACTTCAGTGATGGGCATGCGGCTAGTTATTCTGGGACATTTTGAGGCTCTGTCTTCCTCACTTTGAACTTGTCCCTCCTTTGCAGAGGAGGAAGTAAGAAGATCTGTAGAGTTTTGTTCCTGAGAATAAACTGAGGTTCCTTGATCCCGTCAGTAACCACTCACCTGTGTCTGACATCCATATTTTCTTTCTCTCAGTCTTTGCTAGTACTGTGGGCCGAAAGGTGCGATGACAAGATGGGGATCTTCCCCTGTGCGAAATGTAGCGTGCACCAGCTGTGGTCTCCAGTGCAGTCCGAGGGGAA